GGTCATGTCCAGGCTGACCCCTCTCAACAGCGCGGGCCGATGTCAAATGCAAGAAACTGCTTATGAGTAAAAACCTATTTATCGCCATGGTGTTTGAAAAAAATGGTATATGTTCTGATTTTCTAGTGTCCCAATATGATTTGATGTTTTTCCTAACAGTCATTCCCATATTGATAAGAATAGCAAAGAACTTTTTCATTTCCTGTATGGAAACATTGGACCATCTTTTGAACCTAGATTGTGGACTCAAATTATCTCTCTTTTCATCTAATGTTCTTTGAGCATAGGCATTTGTTTCTCTTGTAATGAGATTCCAAACGGCAGCTGTCAAAAATAGGTTCAAATAATTGATAGGGGAAGAGTTTCTTGGGGGTATATCTTTGGGTCCTGTAACCCTAACTTGAAACTGAGGTCTGACATCTTTCGGAGGTTCGGGGGGATACACCCTAATCCAAGATTCAATGTTTTGCTGTACCGGTATTAGCCTAGGCCTACCTGCATTAGTGTCTTGTTCATTTTCAATTTCAAGATTTTCGTCAATATCTGACGTCTCTAAATCGTTCAAATCGGGCACATACTCCTCTCCACTCCCTGACGAAAAGTCTAGCAAAGATAGTTCAGAATCTGAAGGATAATTAACATCAATGTCACTACCAACTTCATCCGGATCGTCAATAAGTCCTTCAACATCACTAATATCCCCTTTCTAGTGCATTACGTATATCACTACTGTCCATTTTTACCACTAAAAACGACGATAAACGTACAAAAACACACAAGTCACCGATGTGAAATAACCAAGTTGTCTAAAACACAAACGTCAGCTGTCTGCTACAATTACGATCGGCTCAGATAACATACAGCGCTGAGACAGACCTCTGGAGAAAGCTTAGAATATAACGGAAAGATCGATACCTAACTCGATCCAGTTCAATCCGATTCAGTCAGTCATAGAGCCTTCGCCGTAAACGATGTTCGTGCGTCGAAAAATCGACGCGTGACACTACACAAAGTGTGTAGCGCGTCGATTTTTCGACGATGGACGCTCGGAGGGTTAAGTGATGTTATATCACAAAAAGGCAAATAGAATGGTAGGTAACCAAATCAGCTCTTAAAGCCCATTGTAGACCTTTGTTTTTTCAAAACTAGAATATTGAATGTCATTAACCTGTACATATATGTGTGTTTATTTAATGTTAAATTAAAATTAGGAGACTTGGTTGTTAGAAAAGATTTCCATTCTCATTACACTCAACCTAACCCATACTTAGGAATGTGCCAAAATGACCGATTTTGGGTAAACCCTGGTTAAGTTAGGTTAGGTTAGTATTAAGTTACTGACACAAAGTAAAAAGAAGTTGGATACAGTCTCTTCAGTTTCTTAACTTAGCTATGCTAATACCGGTACCAATTATTAGTAGGTTTTAAAATCTTCATTCAATGTTCTCACCATCAGCAAGTTTGCTTAAGGTTAGGTTAGGTTATGACAGTTTAATTTTATAACTGATTACCTGGTAAATATATCATTTATTAAACGATATTTTCAATTTAATAGTTTCAATCGATATTAGCATTAGTTAGGCCTAGTCCAGTTAAGAAACTGTACCCAAAGAGTTTTTCATGTGTCTAAAATCGCCGATTTCTAGCATTTTTCTTGATTTTTAAACACGATTTTCAGGGTGAAGTAGGCGTTTCCCCCAAAAGTGCCACTGGTAAAAAGTGCTTAAAATAGTCTAATTTAGGTAAGTAAGTTAGATAAGGCAAAAAATCTGCAATATAACATAAGTAGGCCTAAGTTAGTATAAGTTCAGTAGGCCTATAACTTATTACCAATAAACTGAATCCAAAATCCCAATAGCTTAGTCAAATGTTGGAAACTGACCTCCGCAAACTGACACCACGTCACAAAATTGCAGCTAATTAGGAACCAAGAGAGTGGTAGGGGGTAAAACCAGCTTTGGGGGACTCCAGGAATGAGGCGTGAGGGGAGCTGGACGTGACTGCCGACACCCATCATGCATATTAATTTCAACAAAAGTTACGAGTGCGGAGGAAAACTACGAAAGCGCCCGCTCAAGGCTTAAGTTAAGTCGGCTGCACTTTACTTGACGTCCTACACTCATTCGATTGTTTCATTCGATATATCGTTTGGTTAGTTAGGTTAGGTTAACCCTAGCAGTGGCCAATGTTAGAAGTGGGGAATGGCCAACCCATTTTGGCGATTTTGCAGACCTTTTTTTGAAAATTCGTAAAAATTTAACCGTACAAGTAAACCTAGCCAACCTCATAACTTATTCATTTTGTTCAGAAAGAACAGGAGAATTTAGAAATAGTAATATCATAATGATTTACCGTAGATAGTGTATTTTATCGGTAAAGTGAAAAAAATAAAAAAAATTGAATTTTTTTTTTTGAAATTTCAAAAGCGGCCCTGGTATTTTTTTTCTACGGATTTTTTATGGGAAATTCATTATATACATTTTGTAGACAATCCAATTTCCTACATAGAAATATATAACATGTTAGGAAAATATTTTTTTTTTATAAGTTTTTGGGGCAAAATATAATGACAAACGAAGAACCGAAAAAATTGAAAACCGTACAGTGTTACTTTATGTTGTAAAAAGTTATATAATATATGTGTACACTAATAATGATATATACATGTTTGTAAAGCTAATGAAGTAAGGAATCAAAAAAAGTCATAAAGTTTATGGTAAAAATAATTTTTTACCTATAAACATATGTATATGAAATAATGTTTTTATATTTTAGCGATTTCTAAAAAAAAAATTCACAGTATTTAGTATACAACTTTTGTACCAATTTTTTTTACTTCAAACCAACATAATAATCTTGTAGTGTATTCAATTACCTACATAAAAATGTATAACATGTAAGAAATATATTTTTTTTTACGTTATAGGGACATAATAATATAATACCGCAAAACCACAAATAAGTGTAAACTAGGCCTATAGCCTACAGTGTTTGTTTGTGTTGTGAAACATTATGTAGGCTGATGATATGTAGCCTACATATTTGTAAAGCTAATGAAGTAAGGAATCCAAAAAAGTCCTAAGTATGATGGTAAAAAGTTATTTTCACCTATGATTGTGTAACAATTTGAGAACGTTTTGAATTTTTTGCACATTTCGAGAAAATGGAGTGTACAGTATTTAGTTGCCTATATAATTTTTTTACCAAATTTTTTACACCCAAACCAATATAAACATGTTGTAGTGTATTCATTTACCTTTATAAAAATGTATAACACCTTGGGTAAATCATTATATAGCATATATAGCACCTCTGAATGTCAGAATCGTCATTTTTGGACATGATGCTAACAAAATACAGTAGTAGGGTATTTAGTATAGGCTATAACTTTTTTACACAATTTTTTACCCCCAAACCATTATAGGCCTAAACATGTTTTAGTGTATTCATTTACCTTTATAAAAATGTATAACACCTTGGGTATATCATTATATAGCATATATAGCATGGCAAATTAAGGTCCGTCTCGTACAACAATCTCTGAATGTCAGAATCGTTTTTTTAGGACATGATGCTAACAAAATACAACCTTTTATGAACACTAATTTCACACAATTCAGTAATATTTATGCATGAAGATTACTGTTATACACACACACAAACTTCACTAACACTAACACTAAGAACTAATAACGTATTTAGTAATAAATCGCGGATAACACGAGAACCGGCAACAACATAAACAAACACAATGGCGAATACAAGACAGCTGACAGACTGTAGCAGTAATGACTCACTTCCGTCGTCTACATGCGAGCATACCGAAATAACCCTGAGTGCAGGGCTGCCACTCTCTGAATCTAAATTTCTTCCTCTTCAAAATGATATACTATATGACTAGTAATAATAAATTACACTGTATGTAATTCGTATTTTCCACATCGTCATCTGGAGTCGATTGGCCATTTGTTAAAAATTTCGAAAACAGCTGTTTTCATAAAATCGCACCGGTTATGCAATCAATATTTCGTTATAAATATTACTACCACAATGAAGATAAAATCAATGGCTATCCAGTGGTACCACTCGCAACATCCCACGACGAAAATTACCCGAGCAGGGTAATGCCAAACAAGACGTGTTTTGCCAGTTCCCAAGTGTCGGCTGCAAAAGTCGTGCCGCGTCGAAAATTCATTTGATTTCTAATCGTCGTGACATTGTTATATACCTGCTACAGAGTTTGTTTATGTAATAAAATGAAAGTTCAGAATGTGATCTTTCGAATGGTATATATATTATTCTCATCTGAGTTGATTATAAGTGTTTTTTTTACCGCTAAAAAATTTTCGGCCCAGATCGTCACAAGGAGTCGTTGGCCATTCTAAGCATCAACGTCAGATCGTCACCAGGAGTCGATCGGCCACTGCTAGGGTTAACCTTACCTAATTAACCAAACGATATATCGAATGAAGCAATCGATTAATCGATATATCGATCGATATTTTCATTCGAATGAGTGTAGGACGTCAAGTAAAGTGCAGCCATTAAGTCTATTGTGAATTGAATAACTTGGGCCTAAGTTAGGCCTAGGCCTAATCACATAATATGAAATCAAGTTTACTAGGCCTAGGCTAAGTGGTTTAACTTATAAACCCTCACTTAAGTAATAACTCAACTTAAAATTTAGGCCTAGGCCTACTCAATGATGTTTGTATCTCGATTAAACTTTGAATCGAAACTTGATATAGGCCTAGGCCTAGATCACTATGAGACCAACAAGTAGGTTAAGAGGGCCTAGCCTAGGCCTAATCTTACATTCTTATTAAAAAAACGTAAGCTAACTTAACGGTTCTAAACAGAGTTTATATTTAAGGTCTGCATTTGCAGTGAGTAGCCTATATCATAGCATAAACTATACTAGATATTAATATTTTTTTCAGTGAAAGTTAAGTTATATTAGCCTAAGTGAGTTAGGCCTATTTGTAATGAACTCAAATTACCGTGTAAGATGAGGAACTACTATCTTCCTTCAATTCCTGACAATCGGGGATAGAGAAATGCATCGTGATGATTTAAAGTCTTGAGGCAAGGGAAAGATTAAAGTAGGTTATTGTAGCATAGTCTAACGCCTATTATCTCGGTAAAAAAATGTTTATAAATTCTCTCTAGAAAACCCATAAACACAAACACTTGCTGTCAGTCACTAGTCAAGTAAGTCAAACAAAAAACAAACACAACACACAACACACTACACTCACTACACTCAACACTTCTTCTTCTTCAGTAACTACTACCACTACACTACCGTCACCGTCGTGAAGTTAGCGGTTCCTTTCATCGAAGCTTTTTCGGATTGTAATTAATAGGGGTTGGTACACCTGCGGACGCCACAAAAGTGTTTTGCGGGGACGTCGGAAACGCAATTCAATTAAAATACGGCGCGAAATGATGTTTCTCATAAATTATGTTCTCATACTCATAATGATTGTTTTACACATTGTATATTACCATTATAAAACCTCAAAGTTGATGTGATCGGCTTAGGAAAAAGATCATGCACTTTTTATGTTAGGAGTTTTAATTGAATGCGTTTTGTTAAGCCATAGCTACGTATAATGTACAATACGGCCTCAAATATACCTATTAAAATATATGAATTAATTAGTTTAAACGTGTATACACGTTTTGTCAGGGTATTATTGACATTATATACATGTAAAAACATCATTTCACACCGTATTTTCATTGAATAGCTTTTCCGACATCCCCGCAAAACGCGTTTGTGGCGTCCGCAGGCGTACCAACCCGTATCTATTACAATCCGAAAGGCGCCGATGAAAAGATCCGCTAACTTCACAACGGTTAACTACCGTACTATCGTTTTGGTTTAAGGGGATATGGTCAAATATGCATGAAACTTTACATGGATATTGTCAAAAGCATAAACAATAAGAAAATGTCATTTTTGGAAGATTGTAAAAAATAAAATAAACACCCATTTTAGTGGTGGCGAATCCCCTTTAAAGAAACCCTTGCCGACAGACCACCACCGCCCACCACCACCCTCTACTGCTCGAGCGAAAACCATTACCGCAACACAGCCACAGGTCTCGGTGACCTTACGGACAGACCACCACCGCCCACCACAGCGCCGTGCAGAACGCATCATACCGTGCATAGCCGAACTGTCATAACCTAACCAAAAACTAACTAAACTTGCTGATAATGAAAATATCGAATGAAGGTTTACTAATAACAAAAATAGTTCTGTTCATAAAATAAAATTAAAAATGTTTAAAAATCAATTACCTATATAATTTTTTAATTATAAAATTAAACTATCATAGCCTAACCAAAACAACCAAACTTGATGATAATATAAAATATCGATTCAAAAAGTTAATGCCTCCGGTGGGTTTCAAACCGGCTACCTCCGAATGTTTAACCCGGTACTTACTTTCCGTGTCCGGAAATCAGACTTCGCTTTTCCAAAAATTAGCTACCGATATGGCTTTGTCATTGGCTTGTGGCTTTGATCATCTAATGTGCAAGACTGGTCTAGGCGTGGACAGATCAGCAGATGGCGAGGATACACTGAACAGCACCACACGCGCACAAGATGTTTTCTTCGTCTGGCAAGAGACCCCATTTCTGCATGTTTGCCTAGCATTTTGGTACCTCGACCCTGATTCGATTTAGGGTCTTCCACGCCGTGTAATGAAGGCCTCCACCAGGAGCCAGTTCCTCCATGGCTGGTATGGGAGGAGTCAACGTGGCCTCCCACCTTGCCACCCGATTGCTTGATCGTGATCCATCCATGACTCGTGTCCGTGATAAAAAGCTCTTTCTGGACCGAAGCCGTCGCTCTGCAGGTTGGTGGCCTTGTAATGGGTGACGAGAGTATGTCTCTTGCTTAGTCCTTTCTGCACATGTAAGAGTTCTGGACAAGGATAGTCTCAGCGAGGAATAATATCATTAGGAAGCTCACCAACAGATGCTGGGGTGCTAAATGTCCTCAGAACCTCAGCTTTAGCGCTCAGTGTGTCGGCTGCGGAGTACGCTGCACCAGTATGGAATGCATCGTCACATGCAAAAAAGGTTGACATTGCAGTCAATGACATGGCTCCGATTGTAGATTGTAACTGGGTGTTTAAAACCAACCCCAGTACACAAACTCTATCCTATCGTAGGGATTGCCCCTCCATCAATCCGACGTGATGTCGCTGCCGACGCAGAAAGGACTTCAGCCCGGTGCGCTATCCACTTCACCACCGATACCTATGGTTGTTCCTCGTATCGTTGCGGTAATAAATGTTCGCTCGAGCAGTGGTGGGTGGTGGTGGGCGGTGATGGTCTGTCGGCAAGGGTTTCTTAGTGGATAGCGCACCGGGCTGATAATTCGGAGGTAGGTGGTAAGAAACCCACCGGAGGCATTAACTTTTTGATCCGATTTTTTTCATTATCATTAAGTTTGGTTAGGTTATAATAGTTTAATGTTATAATTTAAAAATTATATAATTGATTTTGAGACATTTATAATTTTATTTTATGAACAGAACTATTTTTCAAAATTCATGTTTTCGGCCCCTGGACTATATTGTTAAGACAGTAATAGGTTTTTTACATACCTCAGTCAAATAGTCCAAAAACTGTTTGTTTTCCAAATCCAAATAATGTATTCTGTGTTCGTGTCCGTGTTTTTAAATGTGTTTTTGACGAGTTACAAGCTTTGAAAATGTTGTCTTCGCAACGAAACATGTAAGCTGTTGAGCAATATCATTTTTGGACTATTTGACTGAGGTATGTAAAAAACCTATTATTGTCTTATTTTTTTTATTAGTAAACCTTCATTCGATATTTTCATCATCAGCAAGTTTGGTTAGGTTATGACAGTTAAATTCATTTAAATTGGACCTACAAACGATACGTTTCGACAGCGACTGTGATAGAGATAACTATTTCCCACGAACAGTTCGGCTATGCACGGTATGATGCGTGCACGGCGCGGTGGTGGGCGGTGGCGGTCTCCGGTCTGTCTGTAAGATTTGTTTGTTTAAATTCCAGTGTTGCCACCCTGGACCTGTGAAAATTCCCCATCTGACTAAGAAAAAATCCCCATTTTATCCCCAGCTAAAGCAAAAATCCTCCAATAATCCGACAAGTCATAAAAATCTATAGAAAGTCCCCAATTTTCCTCCATCCATCCTCCAAATTCTACAAAAATCACATTTAACTACAAAATATCCCGAATTCATACCTATCCATGCCATAGTGTGTGGGTAAAAATTCACTCTCCGTGAATATATTACACTACATACATTATTTATTCACTCCATATTAAATGTGCTGACGAGGAAAAACCCCCATTTTATCCCCAGGACCCCAGCTGAAGCAAAAATCCTCCAATTATCCGCCAAGCCATAAAAATTTAAAGAAAATCCCCAACTCTCCTTCATCCAACCGTCAAACTCTACAAAAATTCCCTTTTAACTACCGGTCCGGCACCATGTTATCAATGATTATAATATACTATAGCAGAGTACCCGTCCTTCGTACGGGGTTGGCATATAAGTATGAAATGCTAATTGTAGTTATGGGAGAGGACACGGTTTAGTTTCTCTTTTGATTGCTCATCTACAGACCAATACCTTTAGACATCCCTGCTAAGTTTTTACACCCAGCCGTTCTCTCAAATTAGCTGTGACAAAACCCCCCATTTTTCTTCCATAAGAATAACATGGGAAGAGAATTTTAAAGGCCACTGGGGCAGAGCCCTAAGGGAATTCACCTAGTTTCTCTTTTGATTGCTCATCTACAGACCAAGACCTTTCTTTAGACACCCCTACCGAGTTTCTACGCCCAGCCGTTCTCTCAAATTAGCGGTGACAAAGAAAAACAGTTTAAAATTAATATTATTTATTCACAAACAATTAATTATACGTTTGCTGCATTTAGGCTTTATCTATATTCTGTGGTTCAACCAATGTAGTGATTCGAATAATTTATTGAGAATAACATCAACAAAGGAAAACAAAGGCTAACAACAAACTGTTTTTTACACAAAAGATATGGCGTACAGTGATCTATTCTGACACATAGATAATATATTTCTTGGTTTGTTTAAATATTAGAATATTTTTTTATATTATTGAGCTTTTTAGGGAATTATGGCCCTACAAGCCACTGGTTTGGGTTAAAATACGTACATAGTGGCGTCCCCATCTTAAATAATTGATTGATTGATTAGGCAATTCATTTTAGACATTGTTTTGCACTGATTTCTTTCTTTTATACTACTACATAAACTACATATTTAGTACTTTTATACTACTAGTTTTGTAGTAGGTTAAGTGCTAATAGACTATGTTTAGTATTATCGATTGTTTATACAAGAAGTATATAATCAATGGTACTACACTCAATGAGAGAGTCAGTGTACTGTCGTATCTCTTCGATCCTTTAACAAGAAAACAGCTGGTTAAATACACAACAACTGTGGAGTGGAGTGGTCAGCAGCTCAGCAGGAGCAGAGCAGACAGATAATTTAATTTGGTGTTTGGTGCAATCATAGATAAAACAGGTTAGTCTATGGTGCAATAAAATAACCAATAAGAATAAATTAATTTGTTTGTGTTTCGACTGATTGTGTTTTGGTATTGAATTTTGTTGACTAGGGATTTTTTTTGACATTTATGTCATGTCTGTAATGAAGAATCGTCCGTCATAACCTTCTACTTCTACATGACTTTGCTTTTGTTATGTTCAAAGAGTTTTTGTCTTTAGAATAACAAATTTTTGGACTGGAAGACTAAAATCTACTAAGTCTAGTTATAGTGTCACAAAAGTGCGGTGAAATTCAAGTTATTTATTTTCTACTATTTTTACATTCAAATTTATTATTGTTCATAGTTTTGAAGCCTAACGCATTGGTCATGTCATTCAACAAAACATTCGTTTGGGCCCTATAACTAAAATCAAACCTTGTTCCCATAGTCCGATCATGCTGGTTTCCAAACTCATTAAGTTGATCCTGCCCTGCATTGTCAAGCCAAATTTTATCTAAATCGGACAAAAATTACTCAAGTTATCGCGTTCATGGAGTAGGCCTATATTTTGTATAGGCCCTAGGCCTACCTATAAGTTTAAGTTAAATATACTTATGCAAATGTTAAGTAAAGGCCTACCTACTTACAATGGTAAAAAA